GATAAATGTCGACTACGTTGGCTGGGATTTCTCCTACTCTGCAGCTCGCTTCCTATATAAGTCAGCGTAATGGTACAGGCTAAGGGCGCTGCAGCTTACCAGAACATGCATCATTCTTGAGCAAACGACTGGCGACATTCCACACTATGTCAAATTTGTTTTCTCTATGAATAAGGCTATACTGATTTGATTATATGGATGATTCCTCTGGGCACCCCAATGTATCAAAATGGCAACTTTGCCACCCTTTCCGTTTGGGTATGGACGTACGTGTCGCATATTCTCCCACTCATGATTCTTCTCCACGATCTTGTTCCAAACCATCCCACGATCCTGCATCTCCAACTCGTCATGCCCTCCTTTACAGCAACATGGCTATTTCTGTGCAGGTTCATTTTTAACCTGTACAGAACTTCATTGATGTCTTTCCCTTGGCCTTCCAAAAGTTTTTCTTTTCTGATTCTATTCGTCATGTTGTAAACATTCAGGTCATGCTAGTTTTAGAGACCTTCTCTGACGTTTCTCGATGAAGATTGGACAGTTCTTGGGAAGATAATCCCGGCTAGATCCCTGCTACACGACCTGGAGTCAGGACAAACTTCTTCAAAAATCGATTTGTAACTTATCTGGGATTTGGGCTGTCAACGTTCAAAGCACCTCGAGTAAGCCAAGTCATTTGGGGACAATCGCGTGGATTCTAAACGCGTTCTCTTTTAACTCAAATTGCATAATCATAAACCCTCTCAAACCGAACGCATAAATCTGTACCCAAGATCAATGCTGAAAGTGTAAGAGAAGTTACATGTGTGACATGATTGGTTTGAGCCGCGACATCCCAGAGCGAACCTCTAATCTTTGGCAAGTCTGCTGGTACGGTTTTTTTTTTAGTGGGTTGGATTAATCTGTCATCCACTGAGATGCAGTCTTTACTTTCGTTTCCAGTTACAATAACAAACAGTGCCAACCATTCTTTGAGTGAGGATCACAATTTCATCAAGCGAGCTCTGAGCAATCTATCACCGACCACAATGCAGGCGCCAGCCATGGATGCCTTTCTCGTTAGTTCCCCCAGTCTCTGAATGATACGTGACACGTCAGCTGAATTCCTCGAATGGTTTGGGAAGAGAATTAGATGACTAGATATACTGTGCTCAATCGTGTGGGCGTTGATAGAGTGACCATAGAGGAAATCGACAAATACCACCTGCAAGTATTTAATCAGACACGACCTAAATACTTAATTCCATTGTGAAGAGAACTGTGTAGAGAAAAACAATCTGTGTTTGTAATATTTATAATCTGGGCGATGAATGCAGGGTCGCATGCGAATGATTGTGTTGATGAATTTTGATGCTTCTTTCCCTAACCTATTGCTCATCGGCTTTTAAGCCAGCAATTTTAAAAAATTATTGGCCAATCAAAAAATAAAAACCTAATAGTGACGAAGAACTGAAAATGAACAAAACATTCATTTTTAGCAACTAGATGATGCGTAATGATTATGTAAACATGATATAACTTTTCCCAAGCTTTAATCTGAAATGTTGAGGAAAGTTCGGCTCAAACCGGCTTTTCGACCTGGTATGGTGATTGTGATCCATTCAGACAGCTTTGGTCCCAGAACACATTTATCCTTACCACGGTTGTCAAACATCCCGAATGGCACCAAAAGACAGTTGACCTTTTTGAAGCCTGGTATCCAACCCTATTTTAGCCGCCGTTAGTTTTTTTTTCGTCCTCCCCGCAAGATGTCGGATACCAGGCTACGCAAATACTGCGTGTGTGCAATTTCTGCAAAAAAATGATTACACGTATCTTCCCAGATGCGGCAGTTCGGCTCAGTAGCTACCAATAATGAAAGCCATGCTAATGCAAAAGAGTGCGGCGGATGAATATGGCCGCCACTTTACTCCCCCAGAGGAATGATATAAAGCCCCCCAGACATCCTGTACTTGTTTGAGAGCAAGACGAGGAGACGTAAGGCCCATTAAATTGAAATTCTTTTGAGCTGCTGTCGCACGGAGATGAGGTGAATCAACTGATTGCAGTATGAACGTTGGCGAGTTTGATCCTTAGAGAAAGCCTGTCTTGGTTCAGTCATACAACTTACTCATCACAAATGACAATGCGCTTTCTGGGTACTATCTTCAATGGTCAGGCTGGCATCCCTGCAAGCCAAACTTGTCTATACATAATCCAATCTGAGCGTGGCAAGAATGATGATGGTTTCCAAACATCAATGTCCGTGCGTCTGGTTTTCTTTGAAATGATGCGAAAACATTCAAACTGCACCAATTCAGCTAGCTACACGTACAAGAGAGTAACAGTATCGTTGTCACTCATCTGAATTAAGACAGTTCTCGAAATTACATGCCCTGTGTGGAGTGAAAGGACATAATAGGCAAAAGTCAGAACATTATATAACAACAGGTTCGACATCCGGCCGCCGACTCCAGCTAGTAGATTTGATGAAGGTTCAACAGTTCAACAGTTGGGAACACGCCAGACTCAAAGTGCTGGATCAAACGCGAGGAAACAAAGATTTCACTGAAGTTTTTGACGAATCATTTGGATTGTAGCATGTTGTAAAATCCAAATGATTCGTCCAAAACTGTACGCCTTTGATGTAACTGATTAAGACCCGATGTTCGACAGTTTGCAAGAGAACACGCCAGACTCAACGTGACGAAGGAAACATGAGGAAAGAAAATGTCATTGAAGTTTTTTGGACGAATTTTGCATATACTTCCGACGTAACCAGACCACTCCAGAGCCATGCTCTTGATATGCGTTATTGTGTGGAACTAACTTGGCATTCTTGATATGTCCACACCAGAATGCAGAACCGTGCCCGATCCTAACCCATTCAGACACAGAACTAGATACGGTTCTGGATACGATAACCCCCACCCCTTGCTCCACACGAGTCTTGTACTGTCCATATAGTAAGTAAACGCAACACTACCCAGTCTGTACGGGACTCGCACATCTACATGAGAAACTACAGCACGTTGCTGTTATGGGCGTCCGGGGGTGGGAGCAATAACACTCCGTCAAAATTGTCTTCAAGATCGAGTGGCCTCCAGAGGTTAACTTTAATTCTACTAAAATTGCCCAGGGTGAAATACGTTTCTTCAATTAAGAACCGATGCCGCCCACTTGGTATCAGAGAGAGAGAGCACATCATCCCCCCACATGGACAGAGTCAATAAATAGTTCACATGGTTGGAGAACTGGCAAAGAAACTCTGCAACACACTTTGAATTATGCCTTCAGATTATACAGCCTGGGGGCATTCGGTTTATAACTGTAATATCTGACATTCATTACATATGGGCTCATAAAATGCCGATTGCTAGAGGCAAACTTGCAGCCGTCGTAAAAACTCCAAGCCGTATCTTTAATGCGATGACCCTAGGCAAGATGCCACATAAGGTAACATCCATGTTTTTCGATTTCTAGCTAGTAATGGCTGCATTCAAAGCGTTTATGCATGCTGAAGCCAATTTCCTGCTTGAATCCCCCATCACCGCGCCAGGTTGGTCTTGCTACACACGGTGTTTCCTGGGGTGAAAAACACACGACACGGCCGCCACATAACGGTCGGTGTTTCGGTAAAATCCGGCGGCGATTAACTCCCTATCTCCACACGTTCACTTCCCGTGTCTGAGCGCTGACTGCCTCCCGGAGATAAACGTGTCTGCTCGGCATTATTGTGTGGAACTAACGGCAAGGTCGGCTCAAGGGCACCGCAAGCGGAGATTGGAGCTGCCCTGGGATATGTTTCTTGTCGAAGGAACTTTGTCTTGTCCTTTAAAAGGAAATGTCAGCTTTCTACCTACATATTACATATATACCCTCGTTGTCCGATGAATGTGTGTTTGTGTTTGCGTGTCTCTCTGTCTTCGTGTGTGTGTGTGTGTGTGTGTGTGTATGTGTGTGTGTGTGAGTGAGTGTGTACGTGTGCGTGTGTGTACGTAGGTATGTGTACTTACTTAATCTGTTACATAATCTACATTCCAACATGGACTGCAAAAATGCCATCCTTCTAAACGACTGTAAAAAAACACCGCGGAACTCCCAGACTACTACTACGATTGTAGTCTAAAAGCAATGAGCACCTAGTGATAGATAAACTGCAGTGAGATCCTCATCGCACCCAGACATTGGAAGGGAGCACAAATATTGTAATGCAATATGTTTTGGCAAAAGTTGGCAGAATGTGTTTGCCTCTTCTTTTCGAACTACATGCATTTATCTAGCCAATGACACACCGCAAGTCCGATCTTTGTTCACTCACACGGATAAGCCCACTAAAACAGCCGGTACAGGTAGTGGAATTACCAGTAGGGGAACATTTGTTTTAGTCAAGCTGTGTAAGACTCTATATTAGTGGAGTGTAATGACTATTTTCGATCTAATGTCAATCTTTATAGCCCATTTACGTCTCAAAGAAGAAAAGGTGTGCAATTTGACGAAATATAATCTCTTCCCTCCCACCAATCGTCCTTCAATTTCACGGCCGTATAGCCACAGAGTCTGATGAGTGGGGAAAACTTTTCCTGGCCGATAACTAAACTAGAACTACACAAAGTCTTTCAGAAACCTTTTATGTTGGCGGTTGAGGAGACATTGACGAGCAATTAACAGCTAAATCGAATTCAAAAAGCAATTCTTCATGTCCTAAATACTTTATATGATTCGTGAATACCAACATGTTTACACACTATACCAAGGTGGTGGTGGCCGTAGCGAGTGTTCGTAGCCAAAAATTGTCAACTGCTGATTCTTCCATGATCAGTATGTCATAAAGCAAATAAGCAAACATGATATACAGTCAACCCTGCGCAAGAAGACCACTCCAGGACCACATGGAGTGATGTGCCGCTTAATACTTGCTCCTAAGGAAAAACGGGGCGGGGGAAAAGGTGATTGTTATCGCCATTGGCCGGCTTGAACAGGTGACAGGTTTGAGTGTACTTTCCTTTTGCTTGCCACAGATTGGCCGTTCGGTGACGTCATCTGTAAGCTGTCCATCTTCATGCAGGGGGTGTCTGTAGGAGCCTCCGTCTTCACACTGGTTGCCGTGGCAACGGACAGGTAAGCTTCAGTGAGAAAAACAGTTTGAAGGCCATGACAAAGTAGGCATCACTTAAACAGTGGTCATTACTTAAACACAGGTCATTGTTATGACTCTTTAGAATTGCTAAAACTTAAACCTGTAGCCATTCAGACTTACATTGGAATTTTATTGAATTGATGAATTGTTGTCTTTTCAATTCACATTGCAGATACTTCGCGGTTGTCCGCGTGCCGAAGGGGAAGATCAACGGGAAACAAGCTACAGTCATCATCTCAGTGATCTGGATCCTGTCCATCACTGTGTCCGTGCCTCAGGTATGTTTTACAGGAAGTCAAGTAAAAGCAGTAAGTAGCACCCCTCCAAAATGTATTAGTATAGCCCAGTCTCAGGCTCTTATGAATCAATGCGACAACCGCTGTCTTCCACACTGACCATAAATTGTAGTACCTGTCCTTGGTGCTAAAAGCCTGGTGGACGCTCTGTATCCTTAGCCCGTGGTGCCTTCCTTGGTGCTGAAAGCCTGGTGGACGCTCTGTATCCTTAGCCCGTGGTACCTGTCCTTGGTGCTGAGAGCCTGGTTGACTTTCTGTATCCTTATACTGTGGTGCCTGCCCTTGGTGCTGAGAGCCTGGTGGACTTTCTGTATCCTTAGTACGTAGTACCTGTCCTTGGTGCTGAAAGCCTGGGTAACTTTCTGTATCCTTAACCCATGGTGTCTGTTCTTGGTGCTGAAACCCTGGTGGACGTTCTGTATCCTTAGCCCGTGGTGTCTGTTCTTGGTGCTGAAAACCTGGTGGACGTTCTGTATCCTTAACCCATGGTGTCTGTTCTTGGTGCTGAAAACCTGGTGGACGTTCTGTATCCTTAGCCCGTGGTGTCTGTTCTTGGTGCTGAAAACCTGGTGGACGTTCTGTATCCTTAGCCCGTGGTGTCTGTTCTTGGTGCTGAAAACCTGGTGGACGTTCTGTATCTTTAGCCCGTGGCACCTGGAAACTCCAGTCTCCATCTCCTTATCAAATACGGACAACGAAGTGTAACCGTACTTGTTAATTGTCGTCCAAGGTACAATTACAGTGATGCAGTCTGGGATCATCTTACTGCATCTACAGGAGCTAATGTTTACTATTATGTACAGGTTCGACTTCTCGCTTCTTGATTAAAACAGTTGTAAGTGTAAGAACAGATTGAGTTTAAAATACATGGCTTAACTAGTTTTCATTCTTTTTTTAATTCATACCGTTATCCAGGCCGTAGTCCTCCACGCGGAGTATGACCCAGTCTCTGACATCGTCAGCTGTACCGAGAGATGGCCGAAGCCTACCGAGCGCGCCTACTACACCCTGGCGCTGTTCATCCTGCTCTTCGTGGTGCCGCTCCTCGCCATCGGCTACATGTACATCCGCATCGCCACCAACATCTGGTACCGCCCCGCCACCATCGCCGTCAGCACCCGCTCCAACACCGAGCAGGCGGACGCCAAGAAGATCTGGGTCATCAAGATGCTGGTGGTGGTGGTCATCCTGTTCATCGTCTGCTGGCTGCCCCTGCAGATCATCGCACTGGTCACCGACTTCGGCCACCTCAGCTTGAACGCCATGACGGTCATCTACATGAACGTGTACCCGGCCTGCCACTGGCTCTTCTACTTCAACAGCGCCATGAACCCGGTCGTCTACGGCTACTACAACAAGAACCTCCGCCGCATCTGCAACGAGAAGCTGCGCAAACACAAGGCCAAGAAGACGCGGAAGACAGCCCAGGGCGTGGCCTACAACCTCCGGGACATCTCCCAGGCCTCACATCTCCTCAAGAAGGACACCTCTGTCAACACTGTGCAAACTATGGTCAACAGCACACCAGACTAGTCCAACTGGTAAAGACGAGGAACATGATAAAAACCCGAAAATTGAAGAATAGGCATTACTCTTTTGATTTGCCGTAATAAGGTCTAGGAGAAAATGTTGTTTTCAATTTCAGTCCAGGAAAAATAGGGTCAGTGGGGATTCTCTTTTATACATCATTCATTTTTTTCGTAGATCTAACAATACAGTTTAACAATGTAAAACTGATATGCATCAGGACCAGGGCAGTCTCCAGGACCCGTCACTCCGTTTGTTTGTGGAGAATTGGCACTGGAAGATTGTTGAGTTTTTGCTACGGTCGGTCGGGAAACCGGCAACACAACATTTTTTCCTAGGTCTAACCCATTTTCGATGAACATCCAAGCTACCAAGCCAATGACTACATCGTCCACCAAAACAAAATTTTCAGTACGTACATTTTCAAAAAAATTCAAAAGGGTAGCCGTCGTGAACACAGTAACGTATTCCTTGAACAAAACCCCTTAAACGACCTGGTCTTTTAATATCCATGAGCGATATGTCATAGTTTTCTATGTCCCACAGTAATCAAGCGTGAAAAAAGCGAACCTTTCTGTGTTTGTAGAAAGCGTATCAAAATTTGTGTAGAATTATAACAAGAAGCCATAGGCGACAATTCTCCGTGAAGTATTATATTTTGCAACAAAAAGAAGTAGCCATTGGCGACAATTCTCTGTGAAGAAAATAAATCGAACAAAGAAAAATTGTTTAAACGCGCGTCGGCTCAGTCATCTTAAGTCGCAACAACCAATCAGAGATGCGAAATGCCGACACGTGACGCGGGATTTGGGGAAGGGCGCGCGATGCCCGAAATATTTTTGCGTCAATATTCAGCGCCGTGTTTCAAGAGATTAATACCGAGAAACAAATTCTTTTCTTGTTTTGAACGCATAAACATGCATTTACGCTAATCTAGTATGATTCAGGGTTACTTTTTTTTTACCTGCCATGGCCAGATTATCTAAAGATGTGTGTACTGTGTGTACAATCTACAGAAAGAGAAATGTACATCAGGTCCGATCATCCGATTTTCACGTTTCGGTTTTTTGGACTCGGACCATGAACGTATTTTGGTTTGGCTCCTGGAATGTGCGAAAAAAATGACTCCCGGGACTGTCTACAGGGAACACTCGCACATTCGCGGTGTATCAGGACAGCGCGACTGGTCGGCATTAGCGCAGTCCCTGCAATTAGTAACAGTTGCACATCAATCCGGCCGAAAGCATGATTGTGTAACACAGGCTACTTCTTCATATACCGGCTCATACTACACGACGCCTTTACAACTAGCAAATCATAAAATTACCCGATCTACTAGTACTGTATGTGCGGTTTACCAGCCCCAGACCACATCTGACCACGAGGCAGAACACATTGATGGGTTGCTCAAAAATATTGTCCATGTTTACAAAGAGCTGCTCCACTAACACTATGGAGCGGCCCATCCCAAAAATATTGGCCATGTGTCGTTGCTAGGACGACCGGCCAGTTGCTACGTGACTAAATACACGCCGCCACTAGGTCGCCACACCCGACCAGTTTGAAATCGATAGGATTACGTTATCGGTATTAACATTTCCTAATGTTGACCATCAGCCCCGCCGCGACTTACTACCGGTGACATAAACGGACGACAACATTTCAACGGCATGGGGATGTTTCGAAAATAACCATTTACTCCAATATCAAAACAGCTACGGTAAAAATAAAAAGACGTGCATCATCCCGGACATAATGCAACACCACATGCGAAATTACACAGAAATGCGACGTACGGAAGAATGCGTTTTGGCTGCGAACATCTTCCAAAAAACTTGGCATCTCTTAACCATGGGCAAAAACATATGGAACCACTTATCAAAACCACCCCGTATCTGCATGAACTTTTACCCCCACTGCTATTCCAAACAACGCGTTTTTCTGGACCATTCCAATTCGCCTCGTAATTGTAGGGGTGCGTCTGCGATATTACATTGACCGCGAAAGCAGCAACGGCAAAAATACACATTCGTGCATCAACACGGGCATGCCCGCAGACGGCGTATAAAATTGCGTGCCGATTACACAAAGAGAACCCAGTGTTTTGACTGCGAACATGAAAAATCAGCCGATCACAACACTCCGTCCGGAGGTCCTGACCTCCTTCACGGAGTAACAAAGAAGAACATTCACTTAACGAATTTTCTACCAAGCCTACGGTCTTTGTCGGTTCTACCGTCCCGCTAAATTCTTTCTGACATGTGTTCATGACACGTGGCAAGTACAGTTGATATTGTATGTAAAGATAGATATTCTTAAAAATCGATGGCATGCCAAGATATTAAATTGTTCTGCTTTTAGGCTGGTTCATATTCGTGATAATGCTGAAGGTAAAGGTTTTGTTTTTGTTGTTGTTGTTGTTGTTGTTGTTGAACATTAATGTTTCTTTTTCTGACATGGTCTGTGACAAACGTAACAGTCAATCGGACCTATAGATGTATAAACATACAGCATGGCATTGGCAAACACAACTTCAACTTTACACGCAGTACAGAATTGAAAACGCCATTCACTTAATGTCATCCCCGTTTTACATCGATATCAAATTGTGACTTAATGTTATAAGCATGAACGTGCAAATGGTGTTTTGACCTATAAAACAACAGTATCCCTGTAAAAATGGTGTCGTGATAGTTGTTTTGCGTCAGAACGGTGCTGTCACACGTTGCTGTACTTTTAAAGTGGTCATGATAGAAAGAGATAGTATTCTTTATGTATTTGTTTCGTATTGGGAATATTTCAAAAAACTATAAATGTTGTGTATCATAGTATAAAAGTAGACAAAGTCGGAACAAGTTAGTTTACAAGTATAGTATTGTGAAGTGTACTTTCACGTTTGGAACTCTTGCTCTTGTTTTGTGGAGTGGTTGAGTAGATATACATAAAAATATGACGTTAAAAATATGTATTTGAAGTGAACATGAAGTTACCACAGTGCACTTGACAACAATGCCACTTTACAGTATCCATTCTGAACTGCCTTGCCAGTATTAAATATTGTCAAAGGGTCACACAAATAAGGTACAGCGTCAATATATGACATTACAAAACGATGGCATGGTATTTGACATTACACGAGCGATTCACAGGAAAGCTATGGAGAAGAGACAATCACTACAGTTATTAGAGAAACGTAGCCAACGTACATATCAAGGACAGATCGGTATTAGATGAGATATCAGTGGACATTGCGACTGTAAACTGAAGGCTCTGTCACACATTCAGAACCTTCCCCCGAACACCAACCAACCATGGTTGGGGGAGTTCGGCAGTGTTCGGGATGCTATATTCGGCTTTGTGCGACACAGGCTTAACTGGTAGTGATAGTCATCATTGCACTCTATATGTTGATTAAGATGTTGTTCATGTGGATAAGGTCGATATTTATTATGTTCAATTACTTTAGGATAATTAGTTTAGTCTAAGGTATTGTTTTAGGTGCCTGAGCGGTGGGTTTGTGAATCTTTTTGTCCGGACAGAGTAGGTTGGCAGCACGTGGGTGGGGAAGATTGACAGGCAGAATGACAGGAGGCCAAAGGTCAGAGTCTGGCTGGGAGACAGCAGGAATTAGTTCCCAGCATGGAGGAATTCAGGAGGCCTAGATTTGAGAAAATGTGGAACCTCCAATCTCATGTTGTTTTAGTAGTGTGTAATATCGGTGGGGTGAGATGTACGAGTATTGGTGGTAGAATCTAGCTGCCGGTAACATTTGTAATACAGTAAATGTACAGAAGTGTGACGTGTGGAGTTGTGGCAGCTCTAGATCTACGCGAATGTTGGCTATTTTTATGAAGTTGATGTTGTCGTTTACTCCAAAGATGAAAATTGAATCAGAAGGTAATTTGCTGTGTCAATACAGGAAGAACAAGTTCCATGTGGAATGAAGTTGCTAGAGGAAAATAAAGCGTGTTGAATGTTTGTAAATAATGTCGCACATTTCCGTTCTTGGTTATGGAAGTCTCTTAGAAAGTTCATCCACAATAATCGAATATCTGTAGGTAACTTAAGAAGTTTTACCATGTCTTCTTTTCAAATGGCTTTACTATATATCGTCGTAAGTACTAACACATTTGACATATCTTTTGTCCAGTGGTCAAGCGATAAGCTGCTGTTGACAACCAAATGGCCCATTATGTAACCAGAATGATATCCTGTAGCAATACGCCTAAAGCTGTAACGTTAGATAGCAGATGAAGACACGTAATTTATCACACAGGGCAGACATCTGAAAGTTAGGAAGGGTAATTATCACAAACCATCCTCCTGACGGTATACAGAACACTACAAGCACGAAGCGTAGACAGGTGTCTGTTCTTTATGCAAAATTAAGTCGTTAATGGTGAGATGTCATGACACTTTACATGTAACAGTTCCCTGACAATGTCTCATTGCATCTAGCCTGGGTACCATCCTACTTGTATACCGGGGCTCCCACACTCGCTTCCCTAAGAAGTATCTTAGGGAAGCGAGTGTGGGAGCCCCGGCATACAAGTAGGATGGTACCCAGGCTACATTGCATCAGCGCCAGCACTACAAAAGTAACACAACAGTACACACAGGCGTGATTGCCTATCTCGCCTACCACATGTTTCCGCCTGCCAACATTTTAGTACGTGGGATTACCTGAAAGAGTATTTGTTCCTATAGTAGGCAATAAATCAACTTCTTCTGTTGGCGAGAAGCATCCATTGGCTTTGCAGCCTGCTTTTAGTAGATTGTGTCCACGGTGAAATGAACAGGATGTGACCGAAACGATTATCCTGGGCAGACTTAGAGTACGTGTTCCCTGCCATGTTAGTTATGGGTTCACCACACCACGAAGTGGTGGTGAACCCATATTGCTTTTTCTGATGTTTCTTCTCCTTCTCCTTCTCCTCCTTCTTCTCCTGCCATTTTTTAAATGGATTCAGCTTCTTCATTTTAGGGACCAAGGTCCTGAAATTTGGTATGGAGGTACAGTGGGCAAATACCCCTAGGCGATTTTTAAATTATTGTGATACAGGCTTTTAGAATGGTTTTATTTGAGTTTTTTGGCTGTGTTATAGCAAATGTATTACTGAGTTAGTGTGCAGTGTTACCACATTTGGGCATGAGTCATTACAATGGAATGCAGGGCATCAACCAATAGGCATGCAGCTTTCCTCTATTCTCCTTGCTGATTGGCTGTTGGAATTTAACAGGCTTAACTTAATTAATACCTGCACAGAGCCATTCCATACTGACAGTAGGTCTGTATTCAAGTGTTTTGGTAGGTATTTTAAGCTTTCCTGCTCCAGCATTGGAATGCGGGGCATGAACACTTCTTTTTTTCTTGAAAATCAACAGTTTGCATTATGAAATTAAAAATCCTAACCAATAATGTATGGAATAGCTATCCAACTGTTGTAGTCTTAGTTGTATGTTACTTCATACTATAGTTATATCAATGTAAAGCATTGTTTTCCCTTGTGTTTCTCATTCTTTCCCTGCCATGTCGTAAAATGTGGTGAAGCCATTGCTGTATTTGCTCCAAAGCAAATGTCGGCCTTTCTAGTTAGATCCTAAGATACTACAGAATGTGTGGTTTCCGAGATCTTACGTTGTAGTTCAAGCTGTCAGAGATAACGTTAACTCAACTAGCCACCT